AAGTATCTTGGCCAGTTTTTCTTCAACATCTACAATATGTCCTTTGTCTATTGGAAAACATTTTGGTATTACATTTTGTGACGCCGCTTAAGCCCTTTTCATGTGAGCATTTTATTTTCACACCTCGTAAAAGATTGATAGATAATTATGGGGTAAAGCTTCATTACCTTATCTTAAATTCAACCTCAAATGACGTCAAAATCTCTTGCAACGCTTATCATAATGACGCAAGAAACTATAAGGAAAAGATATGAAAGAATATTCTTCAGTGAACTTTTTCTTTCCTGAAATTCATGAAAACAGTAATTGATATGCAAGCAGTTCGTAAACAGGTATGACGAAACCTAACAGCGTTAGTCGGGTTGATATGAGGCAACTATTATCAGGTGGTAAACTTTCTCAACGTCAAATGTTACTATGTAATTTGCTTGGATGTTTTTTTTGACATGTAAAAACTATTTTGTTGCATCAATCATGTTGTATTGGGGTCTGATGAAGACATTCTAAATTGTTTTGGCACTTTCGCCTCTCTTTCTTATTCCCATGAGTTATCTCCAGATGTATCAACATAAAACAAAACAGCAAAACAAATCTGAATATACATGGAACAAGTCACCTTAAACAACAATGAAGTGCCAAACATCTTAAAGGTGTATAAGTTAAATATTTGAATACAAGTTAAATCCGCCGAGGGATTTCATATGACATAAGTTGTTTAAATAGCAAAATGTGACATCAGTGCTGTTCATCTTGATCAACGATCCACAAAATTTAATCGGGTTAGGAAGCGATGGCGTAATTATGATGAGAATATGAACTTAAAATGTTAAGGGTTTCATGAGATATCTGGCATACAGTCTCTGTGAAGCGGACGGACGCACAAACAAAATGAATATTACACACCCCTTCTTAACAAAGTGGGAGTATATACCACAGTTCAACTTATAACTATTGATGTAGTCTCTTTGATAACAAAAAACCCTTAATATTCGTCTATTTTGATCTCCATGTTCAGTTTTTGTCGGTAAACACCACGAATAAGAACGTCCTTGGATTAGAGTACATCGAACGTCAAAATTTATCCTTGACCCTCTAATCTTTTTATAACCCAGAATTCAGAATCTGATATACTCTCAACTTCTATGTAAGCTATAACCTTTAGCGTGTGAGTGTTATCGTGTTTGTTTATGTAATATAATATTCTTTTTCCAAAGCAAATATTTACTTAATTCAATCAATTAGAGCATCATTCCGGTTTTTGTTTAGGTAGTTCCAACCTACTTGATTAGTGTGTATCTTGCATATTCTTACATAATCTCGTATAAACCACTAACCTTCCTAGGTGTGCTCCTGTGTTTATGGAACCGTGTGTTTATATTCATCAGTCACGCGTTCGTAGGAAAGCCTACCGTTGCGTACAACGACACAATGTAAAAGGGGATCTATATAGTAGCACGCACTGGCGCTATGAGAGAGCATCATACAGTTAATTGTGAATAACGTATAACTGAGAAAGTAGCATACGTACTTGGAAATAAAGATATGAATTGAAGGAAGCGATAGAGATCACTACAGAAAATACTCAAGTATCGTTCTGAGTGAAAAATGTGAAGAGGTTTTACTATAATCATCGTCTACTATGATAAGGTGGAGGTAGTATATGAATTAAAGAGAACGAAAGAGCACCAGAAAAGTCATTTCAGAGTGAATGGAATGATGTGATACAGAAGTGGTATCGCTACAAATGCAAAACACACCAATGCCAAGACAGAGAATATTATAAAAAAAATAAGAAGCATTTAAGTAAGGAAAATGAGTAATACCTACCATGTCCAGATATCTGATTACAACTAAAGAGGATACAGACGATTTTGTGCTCATTTAGATCGTGAGAAAACACTCCCGATAAAAGTTTTATTACAATTAGTGTTTAGATTTTATCATATCTGGCAAGTGTACACTCTTGTTCCAAATAGATCTGTGTATTACAACAGGATGTGTATATTGAAGGAAAAACGTTGCGATAGGGAATTTCCTCTCAAGTTTTACTAGTTGGGTTATAGGAATAAAGTGATGAACTACAAATTAAAAGACAAAACACTAAATACAAAAACTTCGATTTCTAAACTCAGAAAATGCAATTTATACTCTAGTCAACAAGCAGATAAAACCATATACATGTGTCTATCTTCACCGACTTTGGAAAATAAATGATTTTTTATCATCCCGGGAATAGCTCCTAAGACAGTATCGTCTCTAAAACTATAACTTTAACAGTTTAAATAAAATCAAAATAAGAAATCTAGAGCAGAAAGGGGAAAAAATTAACAAAAACAGAAATGTTTGAAACGCAGCGGAATTGATGACAGATTTTTGGCAAGCATAAAACTGCTGATTACGAAGCATCAGCGATAACAGGAGATCGAAATCTTCATGCAGACTTTGCTGCTGCATAACGTTGAGTCTGTCGCCTTTAATACTGCAGTGGGATCTTGTAAATCTATATAGTCATATATCAAGGGCAATGGGTTATAGACAACCAAACTACGTAATTACCGACACCCCGGGATCTCAAATTACCGTATTAGATTGAAATAGCCCATTTATCTGCATTAACTTTTGAAATCAACGGTGTTGAAAACTCGTTTTTCAACTCTTTCTTAAATCAATTCGTAATACTGACAGTCACCTGTTAAGTGAAACGGAACGCTGTTACGAGTATGAAAACGTTTTGGTATCTATCAAGCCGCATTTTATATATACAGCTAGAATCTGCACATACGTCGACTTCAAACAAATGCTTATAACTGTGTTCTAAGGAAATATCACACACATTGTCAAGATCAGATAGGAACGCTTATTCAGTCAAGATAACCTTTTCCATGTAACTCCGTCGGGATTCGAACACAAGAATGCAGTACAGTGTCCTAGATATGTTTCTTTTTATTTCATTTCCAAAGATGAAATTTACGTAAAAGTCTCTAAAGAGTCGACCAAACCTACGTTTTGTTTGCAATCAGTTACAATGTAGTTATTAGGATCAATATAGACTGAGTAGACTGTTTTAAGCAGTCAGCACGGTAGAGTAAGTGATCGACCGCGAGGTAAGTTAAACGCCAGTCATTCAATAAAGTAAGATAAGTATGTAGAGAACTGAAATCCCTGGACAGGTAGTTAATTTGTAAAGCATCAGTCAGCAACGTGTGATAAGCGATACGGAATCATTTAGCCACTGTAAGCTCGAAACAGGCAGTGGAACATAACATGGTAAGCTCTTCTGACCGTTAGTGAAGTGAACTACGAAATACGGTAAACTCTACACAATTAATAAAATACGATAAAGTATGACAGCCAATAAACAATGGTAAGCTTTATTATACAGCAGTTTTTTTAACGACATCGAACTATGACAGCATGTAGAAAGTAAGACTAACCGGGATTAATAACAGAATATATGCTCGTAAAGAAAGAATTTGCTACACAAACTGGAACATGACTACAACAAAATATCAATTAGGCATAACAACCTATATACTATCGTACAAATATTATCATTATTAGCTGGTCTGGTAAATCATCCTATTTTAACGAGGTTAGGACGAGCTTAATAATTGACATCGCATCAGACTAGATAGTTGGCAAAATTCAAGCCGACAAGAACCCTAAAATAAGTACACTTGCACATGAAAAAGTGATATCGTTTTTGGCATAACAGCCAACTTGTCGCTCTTCTGGTTTCCCTATAGCTACCGTTTCATTATCAGTTGATAATGAATATTATGGGAAGCGTATTGCCCACGGTTAGAATTGCCAATAGTTGATGCGAGAATTAAATCATTTTTGAGTTATGGGTTATACATAACATATGGTATGTGTTTTAAATGATTTGAATGGAATTTCGTTTATGCTAGTAATTTCACAAAGGAAATTATTTCCATATCCACATTCCTGTTATAAATCTTTTCCCTATAAAAGTGAAATCGTATTCGTTATTAATTGATGCACATTCTTCCTGGTATCTTATTTAAATTACATATCTATTTACATTAATCTAACATAACTCTGTTGTTTTAGGCATTAGTGACATTTCAGAGAATTCCCAAAATGCAATCTAGATAAAAGAATAAATGCTTTTTGTTGTTTATGATGCGCGTTTATTAACCCCATTGGAAGGAAGCGTCTCCTCTAGAAGCATTAGGCAGCACATCCGTATAGGTGTACATCTTGGCAGGATAAGGTTGCGAAATCTCTTAAATTCTTAAATTGAACACTCGCACCGTAATCGAATCCGATGCCTTGATTTGGAAGATCAAACAACTTAATATATTCGCTGTTTATGCTTATGTATTGTGGATAATTTCCGGAAAATGAAAAGTTCAGGATTAATTGAAAATGGATTCACTGTAACCCCAAACGCTAAATCTATCTTAAGTAGGAGTGGTTACGTACGTAAGCACCAAAGACCCGAATCGCTAAAGTTCTTTTGATTACATGTATTAGTGTGATATCCTCCTATCATAAGCTGGTAGAAAATTAGATTTAAGGAATGACTATCAATCTCAGTTATGTGAAGTTAATGATGTTATCATGTTTTATCGAACAGAGCAGAAGACATCGGACTGTGTAGAAACATGTATTATATGTACTGATAAAAGACATCGGACTGTGTAGAAACATGTATTATATGTACTGATATATAACAAGCAGCTATACACACTGAACGTGTAAATAGACGCATAACCAATGTACACTGAAAAACCAAAGCATGTTCTTTTCCAGCCGAGATGACCTTTAACCTAAAACTACATCAAAGAACACTGGTCCCAGCCGCTAACGAGAAAACGATTAAATCAATATAAAATGACACTAAACATTTTAACAACGAAACAATATCACTTACAAGTATTATCAATTTACATTTTGTTATCATTGATAAAACCAGCAGCAGCAGCAACAGAGGCGAAAACGAAAGTATGAATTACTATAAAAAGAATACTCACAACGTATGTATTTCTTCCGGTGTTTTCGTGTGAATAAAACACGTTTTCCTCTCTCTTCTCTGATGTTGTCGAGTAGAAAATTTCAACTGGATTTCTATTATACACAGAATTCGCCGTGAAATGTTATGTCATAGTACACTTGCAGAGATAGAGATGTAAATTTTCTCCCCCTACACACTATAGCGCCTAGCTCCACTTGACCGTATACCGCTAGCATATAATACACACTCTGGTCTGCCGAGTCTTTCCGAGACTTATATACTCAGCGAAAGGCGACACCATCCGTCCTGTTGCTTGATGGAAGGGGGTGGTTATTTAGATATATATATATATTATATATGCCTCATCTAACTATTTCACAATAGACGGAGGACGGAACCGTCAATAATGAGCCTTGAAAATTTGCATAACATGTTAATATCACGTATCACCCCATCTTCAACCCCATTGGTACATTCAAGTGGGGATGGATGGGTGGATGAAATTGACATGTAACATATTGTTATTCTATCGATTAAACACGCACACAGGCCGTGAAATACCGTAACAAATTATCACTGAAAAAGGCGAACAATTAGCGACAAAATGGATTTAGAATTCACTCTATGTCGATTATTTATTCTCTTATTGGTAGAATACGAGTTAAACGAAGTAGTTTATCAAAAGACATACATTTTTATAAAATATTTTGATCATTTCGACATGATCATATTCCGAATTTTCAGCTACAGTGCAATATAGAAGAGTCGTGCAATAATTGTGTACATTTTGGATAGTCTTACAGGGAAAATGATTACGAAATAAATAGGAAACCTTAACATATCTACAATGTTGATGTTTAAAATACCGCTATTACAATGTAAGTAGCCTGCAGCATTCACTGCGTCGACCATATCTACAGGCATCAGTTTAATTCAACATGTATTATTTCCATGGGGCTGAAGTTATGAAGAAGGGGAGCTCAGCGGACAGTGACATCGTGATCGTAGGCTGGCGAAAAGAGGGTAATCAGAATTTCCGGAGTCGTTGTGGACAGAAAGTGACTAGGTATCGACATTGGGAAACTTTATTGATAAGCTACTGGAGCGTTTCGATTCATTCATAACAGGTATGAAATATAATGTTTGGTTAGACAGTAAGTCTGAATGACCAGAAATAAAACACTATCAGTATGAATGATTTGTTTTTAATGTTATCTTAATGAAGTGTGATCGTTTAGCAGGAATATTGGAATTAACATGTTATTATGACATCCACGATAACTCAAGCAATAGTCCGATGACTTGCTGTTCGTTAGCAGGTGTATTTGCTATGTTCTATAAGATCGAACTACACACCCAAACAATGTATCTGTTATAATGGAACCTCTTTATAGCTAATCAACACTAAAACCACTGTTTTATCATCGCAAGAATGGTTACACATTGTCCTACATGTATTCAAGTAGGTGTTTTTTCGGCAGGTGGTTTTCAGACGCCGTTCGTATCTTATGTGCGCGTTGGGAATACATCTCCTGAGCTAATGTTCAAACGTTCCAACACACGATACAAGAATAACTTTGTTTTTCTTGTCTTATTCTGCCGTCTTGCACAGAAATTATTTTCAACATGGCGTTGTATCCATTGATTTTGCACACAACATAACTTAAAACGTAGATCCTTTTTACCCCAAAAACAGTTTAGCATCCTAAATATTCGTTCAACAACAATAAAGAAAATCCCGACATGTCAACAGAATCTTAATTCAAATTTTAGTTCGATGTATTGAAATTAAAAAGATTGTAAGACCAGGGTCCTTGTTCATGAAACCGTATTCATGCTCAAATACACATTTGTGCTCAGGTTAAAATACCTTCGGTGAGAAACCTGATATCGGATTTTTCCCCAATTATTTGAAGGATGTCGGAACGACTTGAAGTGCTAATTTATTTTCATTGTTTGAGTTTTCCTTTAAACCCGCTATTTCAGAATTTAAAGTTGGTTTGAACACAGATTTTCCTGAGCATGAGAATGTTTTCATGGATATGGGCCCAGGTGTTAAGGAATTGTAAGCGTCGTAAATAATTCTTTAATTATCATAAAAATGCAGACTTCTCTGAGTTTGAAAATGTTTATCTTTAGACACCACATCAAATGTGTAGACGCATTAAATCACATGTGTTAGGTTCAATAATTAAAAAAAAAGTTTTTAGGGATACTTTTCAATTTTCCGAATTATGCAACGCCTATGGAAAACCAAGCTGGTTACTGGAAGTCATCTAAACGTTTTCCTCATTTAGCAAGAAACAAAATAAAAACAACTATTTCCGATTAAAACCGATTTGTATGTGACTCTTGGTTCCTGCTAGGAGGTTATCCCCCCAAAAGGTGCAAGGGAAAAAAAATTGATTTTCACTACACCAGCGATTTTTAAGAGACCTTTTTGCATTCGCGTCTATGAAATATACATCATGATCCAGGTAGTCAAATAGTGTTTGCGTATATAGCGATATATTTTGAATTTTATTGAGTTTAAGGAATTTCAAGAAAACATTGCAAAAAACAAAAATCTAGCCAAAAAGGGAAGAGATAAGCAGAAAATATAAAATCTACAAAGCAGTCACTGTAATATCCAGTTATTAAGACTACATCAAAATAAGACTGTGTATACTGGCAACCTCTCCTGTTTCAACAAGATATTCATCATGTGAACCTCCACGTCAAAGACAATACATATCATGCACTCATAGGAATATGGAGTGTGACAACGAAACATAACAATTACCAGAAAACCTTCATATCATTAGGAAATGTCATGCTTTCTTCTCTCATACTAAATTAACACATTTAAAAGTTTTAACAAAAGATATTCAAGTGAACTGCATTAACCAATACAAATTTATAATTAGATTCATTAAGGCCAAATTATAAATCAACATTCATCATACAGCTGTTTCGTTCGTACAGGACTTGTCAGTGATGCTATGGGCCTAAATTGTGAGACCTGCAAACAGCGAATTGCAAAAACTGCAACTTTAATGCCCCCTCGGTAACACGAACAGCTAGTGCAAGGGACACAACAAATGTTACACTACTTTTTGGCACTTAAGCAAACAGTTCGCAATGGCGTCACTAAACGTTTATTATGGAAATGAATTATTTTTTTCAAAGTTCAGGTCGTGATGATTCAATAGTGTACCTGACAAACACAGCAGGCGCCTGTGATATTAAAGCGACTTCCTAGCTTCAGTTCAGGTTGCCATTTTGACAGAGAAACATTCGTCCCGTTTGGTAAACAAAATCATATAGTGTTTACATCTCACAGTGGGCTATTTACCGGAACTGTAACAAGTGGTAAGTCAGCATCTGGAAAGTGGCGTACGCTTCTTAATAGTTCTGGGTTAAGTGAAAATGTTGTTAACGTCCTCGACCTAAGTGTATAAAGGATATTTAACTTTCAGAAATGTTTGAAGAGAAAAGAAAATAACCAATACCGGCAAAATGGACAGAAAAAAGAGCAGTTTTGTTTATAAATCACATATGCATGATACCATTTAATTCTGAATTATCATTGTTTTATTTTCCTCCGCTTTGAATAATGAGAAGATATTTTCATTCTTGTCTCAGCCTTTGCCATCAAGCTGATAAGGCGTTTTGTTGTGTTTTTGCGAAGGTCGTTGACTTCACGTTCAAATCAATGTCTTTTATACAAATCCATTCTAGTTTTCTGCAGGTGCAATGCAATTTCTGCATATATAAAGAGATTAATATAAACACGATGGATTTTATGTTTTTCCTGAATGCAACTGATTTCCATTTAATTAGGATTTCCAGCAGCGACAGCATCCGATACGGAATGGAACGCAATACAGACAATAATAAGATAGAATAATTAGCTATCCATTTCGGACTATCAGTATATATCGATAGATACATTTCGTCTATGTACTATGAAAAATTAAACAATATGTGTTGTTAAAGTAAAGCAATGCAGAAAACAGACGCGGCCTATGAGGTGACCAATGAAGTGAAGTTTTAATGTCAGTATAACGAGGGTCTTTATAGCGAGTATCTGCTTATATAAGAGGTTCATCACCTCAGTTAATTGTGTATACTGTGTACACAAAGGTCGTTATATCGCTGTCCTATTTAAGTAATTTACTACTCGTCATTATATCGAGGGTTTACGGTATATCAACAAAAGATAGAAATGCCAATGTATTACATTGAACTAATTTACTAAATGTCATTATAACGAAGTTTAACGGTATATTAACAAAGGTTAAAATATTACATTGATCTAACATACTCAATGTCATTATAACGAAGTTTAACGGTATATTAACAAAGGTTAAAATATTACATTGAACTAACATACTCAATGTCATTATACCGAAGTTTAACGGTATATTAACAAAGGTTAAAATATTACATTGAACTAACATACTCAATGTCATTATACCGAAGTTTAACGGTATATTAACTAAGGTTAAAATATTACATTGATCTAACATACTCAATGTCATTATACCGAAGTTTAACGGTTATTAACTAAGGTTGAAATATTACATTGAACTAACATACTCAATGTCATTATACCAGAGTTTAACGGTTATTAACGAAAGATAGAAATGCCAATGTATCACATAGATATCAGAGGTCTTTGTTGTCAGTCGACAATACGGTGTAACGACATACCATATATACTACACATGTTGATACATGTATATACTTCTCTATATCATTTTAATATACATTACGTAAATTAGGGACAATATATCGAAATTCATTCTACTATCCAATTGACTGTATATCATACCGTACAAAGCGAAATTAAATCGAGGCATTGCTTGCTCACACATTATCTCTGGAGTGAATTTTCTAAAATATACATGTCGGACAATAAATTGCAATTTTACTGTGTGTAAACAAGGTATTCTATCGAGATGCACACTGTATCCGAAATTCCACTTTACGTACAGATGTTCTTAGTAACTCACTTTTGCTTATGCAACACGTTCATTGCACTTTTATTTTATTTATCCAAGCATGGAACATCCTGGACGCTGACATGAGTACACAGGTCTGTGTATAGTGTTCGCGTGCAGCTACACAAACGAAGCCAATGTACGCTGCGTGAGGACCAGTTTACATGTACTAGGATCTCATTACTTTCACTTTTGTGTTAAGTATAGTATGTCAGGGTTTTATCAAATACAGAATCTGGTGAAAT